CCCCCCGACTCTACAGCGCTGTCTGTTTAGCCCCGCCCACCGATTCACGCATGTAGTGTTTACGAGAGAAGCGAACGCACAGGTCAAAGCAGAAACCAAACAATAAAGATGCTCTGAAGACAACAAAACTGCAGTGCAAAGTTGTGGAAAAACAGTGTTTGCATTGCCTTTCTTCTGATCCCAACGTTATAGGAAGGAGTGGATGAACTTTATTTTTAATACAGATCCAGGCCGCGTCAGTAAGAACTTGTTCCTTTGTTCACTTCATTTTACCGCGGATTCGTTTACAAACAAGGTACAATTCGACGCGGGATTTTCAGAAAGATTGAAACTAAAAGAAGTTGCCGTGCCGACTATATTGGATCCGACAGTAATGACAAGTTGACAATTGTAACTGTTTTATTACGTGCTCACTATTGCTTTGTCTGATAAACAGATTGTTTGATATGAGTATTTATGTGTTTTTGACCTATATCACAGCAGCGTTAATTTGTGAAGGATGTAGACTGTCAATCATACACAACTGTTAGCCAATCACAGCAGTGGGCGTTTACTTCTGAGTCTACAATCCTCCACTCTATTCAAACAGAGCGTTCTGGTGAGGGGGGTTAGAAAAACAGGACAGAAAATAGCCTATTACTTCTAAATTATGATGTTTTTTGATGTAAAAATCTTGATAACACTGGACCTCAGAGAACAGTACAAAATAAAAAACAGAGGCAGTTCATGACCCCTTTAATTATGATAACTCACACATGAATTCAGCACATTTTACTCACTCACTGCATGGAAGTGGATGGAGTTGCTGGTTTGACCTCCGGCGGTCAGTCTGCAGTAGTACTCGCCCTCTGACCCCTCGGTGATCTGTAGGGTGAAGGTGACCTTGACGTTGTTTTCTGCTGCAATAAGATCCCCTGCATCCTTCCAGAGTTCATAGGTCAGAGGTGAAGACCAGCCTGGAACTGCACAGTCAAACTGGACTTCTGATCTCACATAGGCCTCACTGGGTCCAGACAGAACTGGTTTCAGAAGCAAACCACCTGCACAGAGATCAACCGAACTTGCGTAAAATATCCAAATAATTAATCATGGCTTAGTTTATTATTAGACATGTGCATCTATTTGATTGCAATAGTAATAGTACAAAAAAAAGAAAAAAAAATTATTTAGGTTGCTTGCGAAAAAATTATAATTTTTAATCAGTTAAAAGTATGAACAGTCATCTTTTGCATGCATTTATTTTGATTGCCTAGAATCAGCATAAATATGTTATTTGTGAAAGAAATTAAAGGGGTCATATGATGCTTTTTTAAAGATCAATCTTAACTTTGATAAAGAATATCTCTTTGGTTTTGAGACTTTAGTCTTTGCAACTTCAGGGATCTTATCTATGCACAATCAGCTTGTAACACTTCAAAGAGAAAGGAAAACTTGAAATCGCATCATATGACCCCTTTAAGTTTTATCAATTAAAAAGCATGAATAGTCATATTTTCATTATGCATTGATTTTAGTTGCTTAGAATCAGCATATATTTTAATTGTGAAAGAAAAATAGATTTAATCAATTAAAAAGTTTGAACGTAGATTGGACAGGTTTAAAAATATATAAACCTGATTAATGTGCATTTAAAACATATTCAGTCTATTAGTACTATTACATTAAACTCATTCTTGTTTCACTTACGTATGGCTGACAAATATGTATCACATTAAGTTTAATTATGTTAACATTGTGTAATTCAAATGGATTGAAATTTCATATGCAAATTTTATATTAAAATTAATAAATCTTAAATATAGGGCTACATACAAAAAAAGTACATGCTTAAAAAACAAACAAAAGCGTTAAGCTCAGGATGAGTGAAATAAATAATAAATAGAAGTACCGATTTCTGTCACAGGTTCCAACAAAACTGAAACACAGAAGGAGAATCCAGTAAGTATACAATAAGTGATGTTTACTGTGAACTTTATGAGTAAATTAAGTATTTCATTGATAAATATATCCGTAAATATATCAGTAACTCACCACAGAGTGACAGGAGGAGGAAACGGAGGCTTCCAGCCATCATACAGGCATTCAGTCGACTACTGACTGTGTGTGTGTGTG